GCTTGATCATTAACCTGGTATTTCTGACACACAACAGCACCACACTGTCGACCAGCTTCTTGTAGCCGGTCAAAAGACCTACGAAAAGCTCGAAGTTCAGACCCAAGTGTGCAAGTGTGAAAGAGGGCCAGGACTCATTTAGAAAACCGGGAAGAGTATAAGATCTGCATAAACCTCTGCGGTTTATACTTGATGAAATTTACCAGAATTAGAGGGAATCCAGTGCTCGGAGGCAACTGAATTGCTGACCCATGAGGCCCCTGAAAGGCAAAAGGGTTACCTGTCCAGATGTGAAGTAGTGACCCATATGAGCATGGGACAGAGGCCTCGGGCTCCCCGGCTGGAGCTACTACTTTTATTTTATTTTTTTAAAGATTTTATTTATTTATTTGAGAGAGAGTGAGTGCACGTGCGCGCATGAGCAGGGGGAGTGGGAGAGGGAGAAGCAGACTCCCCACTGAGCAGGGAGCCCGATGCGGGACTCGATCCCAGAATCCTGGGATCATGACCTGAGCTGAAGGCAGACGCTTAACCAACTGAGCCACCCAGGCACCCCTAGGGCTACTACTTAAGACAGTGGCCAAGAGGTTGAGAAATGGGGACTGAAGGGAGTGGCCATAGCCTCAGATCCCTCCCGGAAGGACGATGCTAACCAAGAGCAGTTGAGAAACAGACAAATTCTGACTTAGACACGTGCCAGCAAAAACAACGAATGAAGAGAAATAAATACACGTATGGTTGACAGGTCTCAATTTTTCCTCCTAGGGCAGCTTGAAAAAGTTGTTTGGAGGCCTTCAAAAATTCTGACTGGTGGATTCTGAGTTCTCACGCAAAGTGGGCGACTTCATTTCATTTGTGGCTGACTGCTTTCCCAAGACAGCTGGGCTAGGAGGGCATGCTCAGAGACTGTTTCCAGGGGCTGTCCTCGCCCTGATGGGATTCCACGGGCGTGACCCTGACAACTGTGCTAAGACACAGAAGCACCTTCTTCAAGGGCAGATTTTGAGTACTTAAAATAAATCTCTTTTTTTACGGAGGGAGGGGGGAAGGGCATGGGATAGAATCTTACTTTTTTTTTTTTAAGATTTTATTTATTTATCTGTCAGAGAGAGAGCACAGCAGGGGGAGCGGCAGGCAGAGGGAGAGGGAGAAGCAGGCTTCCTGCTGAGCAGAGAGCCCCATGCAGGACTCAATCCCAGGACCCCAGGATCATGACCTGAGTCGAAGGCAGACGCTCAACTGACTGAGCCACCCAGGTGTCCTGAATCTTACTGTCTTATAAAGAATTTTTTTTTAAAAGATTTTATTTATTTATTTGAGAGAGAGAGAATGAGAGAGAGAGCACATGAGAGGGGGGAGGGTCAGAGGGAGAAGCAGACTCCCTGCTGAGCAGGGAGCCCGATGTGGGACTCGATCCAGGGATTCTGGGATCATGACCTGACCCGAAGGCAGTTGCCTAACCAACTGAGCCACCCAGGTGCCCCTGTCTTATAAAGAATTTTTTTAAAAATGCACACAAAATACTGCATAGATATATTTCAATTCACACCATATAGTCGTCCCTTAAGGTTGATGGTAAAGTAAGTTCTGCGTGTACCTGGAAGCTCTGCAAATTAGAGATGCATCTGAACAGATACAAAGTCATACCCAAAACTGTACTCCACAATTACATCAGAATGCTGCAAACTTTTTTTCTTCTCGAATATAGTTTTAAAACCACTGTACAGGAATCCTAAAAGTAGCCAGGGCTTATCTTCTATTTTAAAATAGCTAGCCAATGAATCATTTATTGTTTTGTTCATTGCTCCTAAAAATAACTGTGTAGAAGCTGGAGAAAGGTGCCCCGGAGTCAGAAATCATTTACAGTCTTTGCTCCTAGACCTAGAAGGAAACATTTCTCATGTTGTCTTTTCTCTCTACCCCACGGAAAACACTTCCTTTGAAAAACATACACTTTTTTTTTTTTTAAAGTAGGCTCCACGCCCAGTGTGGGGCTTGAACTCATGACTCTGAGATCAAGAGTCATACGCTCCACCGACTGAGCCAGCCAGGCACCCTGGAAGCCGTAAACTTTTATATGTTTATATCAAGGAGTTAAACTCAATTTATTTAAACAGATATTCACTGAGAATGTTTGTCCACGATACTATCACAGTAATAGGACACAATTCCCATCCTCAGGGATAATTTTCATCTGGTGAGGTAAAGAAGTTTCCACAGAGAAGACATGAAAGGCAGAATGGTAAATTCTTTAACCAAGGCACTAACATTTCGACTGAAGATTAATGTTGTTAATGTGTTAATTGTTCTTCTGATGCAGATCAGTTTATTTTTACATACAAAGGGCTCTGGGACTAATGAGAAGAAAATTATCTTAAGCATTTAATTTGTAAACTAAATGCATTCTCTGTACAGACCTTTAATGCATGCGTGCATGCACAGAGAGAGGGAGCAGGTCTGAGCGTGGGATGAAGGGAAGGGGCACCTGGGTGGCTCAGTTGGTTAAGCATCTGCCTTCGGCTCAGGTCATGATCTCAGAGTCCTGGGATGGATCCCTGTATGGGGCTCCCTGCTCAGTCGGGAGCCTGCTTCTCCCTCTGCCTGCTGGCCCCCCTGCTTGTGCTCTCTCTCTGTCAAATAAATAAATAAAATCTTAGAAAAAAAAAAAAAAGACAGTAAGAGTCTATTCCATGCCCTCCCCCCACAAAAAGAGAGATTTATTTTAAGTACTCAAAATCTTTCGCTCTCTTTCTCAAATAAATAAAATCTTTATTTTATTTAAAGTTCAAAAGTTCAAAAACAAGAAAATCTTTTAAAAAAAGATTTTATTTATTTATTGATTTGAGAGAGAGAGCAAGACAGAAAGCATGAGAGAGAGGAGGGTCAGAGGGAGAAGCAGACACCCCAAGGAGCTGACGCAGGACTTGGTCCAGGGACCCTGGGATCATGACCTGAGCCGAAGGCAGATGCCTAACCGACTGAGCCACCCAGGTGCCCCTAAATAAATAAAATCTTAAAAAAAAAAAAAAAAAAAGAAATATTTGTGGAATGTGATAGGGTGAATCTGAAAGTCATATGGAAGGATAAAGGTCCAATCATAGCCAAGATACTCCTAAAGAAAAAGAACAAAGAAGAAGGACTACCCTTACCAGACAGTAAAACTAAAAATAAGGCCAGTAAATAATTATCATAGCAAAAAGCAAACAGACCAATGGACTGAATAAAGATCCTATAAACAGGCCCTGCATATATACAAAAACCTGACTGTGATGGAGAGAGCACTAAAGATCAATGAGGAAACGCATGGACTGGCCCATTAATGGCACTGAGACACTAAAAGCAATAGCCCTAAAGGAAAAGATTATTAAAATTTACTGTGGTAAGAGTTTCTGTTCATCAAAAGACACCATAAAAATAAGAGAAACTAAGAACTGGGGAAAATATTTGCAATACATATAGCTGGAAAAGGATTAGCATCCAGAATATTTTAAAAATTCCTACAATCAAGGGGCGCCTGGGTGGCTCAGTTGGTGAAGCATCCGACCCTCGATCTTAGCTCAGGTCTTGCTCTTAGGGTTGTGAGTTCAAGCCCCATGTTGGGCTCCATGTTGAGTGTGGAGTCTACTTAAAAAATTCATACAATCAATACAAGGCAACCCAGAAAAGAAGGGTGAAGGACACAAATAGGGATTTAATGGAAGAGAAAACACAGCCTTTTAAGCAGGCTCCATGCCCAAAGTGAAGCCCAGCACGGGGCTTGAACTCACGACCCTGAGATCAAGACCTGAGCTGAGATCGAGAGTCAAGACACTTCATTGACTGAGCCACCCAGCCACCCTGACAAGTGCAGGTTTATAGAAGTGATCTGAAAACAAGCTGGGTGTTCCTTAGCAAAGTTGAACATGTGCACATCTTACAATTCAGCAGTCCCACTCTTAGGTACATGCCCTAGACATGGGCAGACACGTTTCGGAAACACGGACAAGAACGCTCATACAGTTTGGTTCGTCACTGCACAAAACACTCCAACAACCATTAATGGTGCTGTGGACACAGAAACCGAGTTCCGCACTAGACATTCCACTCTACACGATGGAATGCCCTACAGCAGTGAAACAGGAACAGAACATAACTCTATGCACCAATACGGATGAATCCCCAAAAATGCTGAGCGAGGAAAGCGGGAGAGTATGTGAAATATGATTCCACTTATGTAAAGTTCAAACACAAGGAAACCAAACAATACATACTGTTGAAAAATACAGAGAGTTGATAAATTTATACAGAAAATTAATAGTTGAGGATTTCAGGATAGGGGTTGGCCAGGGGAGGGGTGGCGGGTAGGGAGATGGTGTGACTGGATGGGGACCCTGGGTATTTTAAGGGGGTACAGGGATGTTCACTTTATTCCTTAAATTCTGTAAGACATGAAATATACCATATATATATATATATATATATATAGAAAAAAAGCACGCATAGACACCTTTCTGACCATAATAGGGAATAGGTTACAGGCCAACAGGAAGAAAGAACCTTTATCAATGGATTTACAAGGTTATTCCCCAGGTTTCATTCATTACCTACTTTTATCAGAGTGATCTATCAAGGCAGGATTCAGTCAAGCTTAGCAAAGAGCTTGCATAGCCCGGCTGGATGATAAACACGACCTCAAACGAGAAGCTGTAAAGAGCCCTACAAGGTCACGAACGGCTTCTCTCTGCCTCAGATGTCAAAATCTCAATTAACTAACTCAGCTAAACAGACAAGAGCTGAAGGCAAGATTCTAGGCGAGCCTGCGATTTTCACATGCTGGAACTATGATTAAGTAACAGAAAGGCACTTCAAGTGGCTAAGGTTTACAGTGACTGCTAAAGGATACTTGAAAAACAGAAGTCTTCCACTACACGTGTATACCTTGCTCTGGGAAGAACGGACACCTGCTTGAAGTTGTCATTCACAGAACTGAATTCTTTTGCCGAGCGGTATTAAGTGCTCACCTGTGTTTGACCATGTTTTGATCATGGCAGAAATGACTAAAGAATCTCGCATAGAACAAATGCATGACGGCGTGTTCCTTCCCTCCGATGTACAAATCCACAGGCATCCAGTAATCTGCCAACGCTGCATTAAAAGGGCTGCAAGAGAAATGGTCATTTTTTACAAACCCGCTTTGCTGCAAGAACACAAATTAGATAGACCTATTATAATTCGCGTTATACCCCGAGACAAAGTCTGATTTTTCTTTTTAAAATATAGTAAGAGAAAAGCTGATATAATAAAGCAGAAAAAAGTCAGGTCGGTATGAAATTATGAAATTTATTAAAACTGTTTCAGAAGCCATTTTAAAGAATGCGATTTTCATTAAAATAAGGACAGAAGGAAAACACAGCAGCATAAAAAAGGTATTTCTGTGAAAAAGGTTATTTCTGTAAGATGCGTATTTGAATATCTGGATTTCTATTTTAATTTTTATTGCGATTAGGCAAATTGGGATTTGTGAGTTCTTACCAATAAGGGGCAATATGGCATTTACAAAGAAGATTAACACGCAGGCACTAAATGTTCATTTTAAAACAGAAATTCCATCTTATTTTTAAAAGCAGCCTTAAAATACAGATAGTCAGCAAGGGCCTGTATATGGTCTCCTGCGTGCAAGGAGCATATTTAGGGTAACGAACACAAAATCACCCAACATCTCCCTCTCACCTAACAGATACTGTCAGTGACAGAAATCCTCCAAGAAAGGCTTCCTCGGACTCCCTGGTCCTAATGGGTGCTGGGGAGTAAAGCAAACACCACTTCCCTCTATTCTCTGGCTGGGACTCTTGAAAGGAGAGTTCGTGAGTGTGCAGTGTGTGTGTGTGTGTATGTGTGTGTGTGCACGCACGCTTTGTGGGGAGGGGAGCAGAGTGGGCTGAGCACCTTCAATCTCAGGAGACTATGCTTCCTAGAGATCTTCCAATGAAGCAAATCTCTGCCTTTGGAGGATTTATACTCCGTGGTCTCAAATATTTGTAAATTCTCTTCCCTACACCGCAAGGCACTTTTTTTTTTCCAGCATGGACTTGGCTCAGGCTGCCAGCAAAAGCCTGTGGCTCAGCAGGTAGGCCTGGCCAACCGCCCGGCATTTGCATCTTAATGCAGTTTGCTTTTCTCCAGTCACTAGGCCAGAATTCTGGTAAAATTAAAACAATTTTTTTCCCTTTTGTGAATAATGGTTCCTCAGAAAAATCCAACTACTCATCCAAGGGACAGAAAAGAAAGGGAGGTCAAGGGGGCTGGTGCTCATCCTGAAAACAAGTGTGGGGTGCATTTCGATGTTGAAAGTAGCTATTGCTCGGATCCACGATTTACCCGGGAACCCATCTAGGGAGGACTTGAGCTGGTGCTGAAACTCACAGCTGCATTTTATGAGGCAAAAGATGTGTGCTCAATGGTATTCCCAGATCAGAGGCTGGGAAGGCCTCAGATGTAACTCTCTGGGTCCAGGGTCCGTCACTGATGTAGAGCCTCCATCATCTGTAAGATTTTCCTCTGAAGCATTCTGACAGGTAGGGCCTGATTGCCTTGGCATTCTAAGCAGCTGCTAAAGAACAGAAGGCACCAGGAGCCCCTTCTAGAAGGAAGAGTGGGAGGAGGGGCCCCGCTTCCCTGCCACAGTAGTCCCCATGCATCCTGCCTTTCTGGCCACCGTTTACTCAGGGTCCCCTCACTCCTCGATGGCCTGGACTCGAATGACAGAAATCACAGTACTGCAGGGTGGGGCTCTGGTGGAGGTGGGGGGAAGGCAGGAGCGCCAAATCCCACTGGAAATGTATTAGTTTACAACCACCGAAGAAAAAAGCGGGGGCATTTTTGTATGTGGACTTCGGGGTTTGAGGGCAATAGTTTTCCTGTGGACAAGAGCAACCTGGCAAGGTCTTTGAAGGACGTCGTTGCGGTTTTCCTGAGCTCTGCGATTGCTTTCTTTTGCCCATTCTCTTTACCCACCCTCTTCCTACGGCCTTCTTTCCCTGATTCACGTATTTACCTTCGTCTAAGAAACCTGCCCATGGCCGAAAACTCAGATTGTACTGAGAGCTTTGTCGTTTCAACACTGGTCCCCAACCCCTGCCTTCATGAGCACCACGCCCCCCCCCCCCC